AGCACTAATGTCGGAGCCCAGTCAGGCTGTAAACTGAAGAAAGCATGGCTCCCTAAACCCTCAACCCTAAACCCTAAACCCTCAACCCTGAACGCTAAACCCTAAACCCGAAACCCTAAACCCTAAACCCTAAACCCTGAACCCTGAACCCTGAACCCTAAACCCTACACCCTAAACCCTATGCCCTAAACCCTACCCTAAGCCCTGAACATTAAACCCTGAAGAGTGGCCCGTGGTGCTTAGGGTTCAGGATTCTCCCATCTCAGGTATTCAGGGCATGCTCCCCTAGCGTCAACTCGCGGTTGAAGATGTTGAAGAAACCGGGTTTAGGGTTCAGGGTTTAGGGTTTAGGGTTTGGTGCACATCCGCCTCTCCGGATGCAGTATCACCTGCATCTTCCCACGGAGCGTGGATGAGCAGCGACTGCGTAGCACTTTTTCGGCAGTTGAGGTCTGAGCTCAAGGCCTGTGGCGAGTAAGACGAAACTGAACCTACGCCCTCTTATTAACGGGGGTTCTTCAGAACTTCAGGAGATGTGACCTCGGCTACACACTACACAGACGACAAAACAGGTAGAACTTCACACCCGTCTTATCTCCGAGTCACATCGACTTCTTTGTCAGGAAAAAAAGGTCATTCAAACTAGTTCGCCGCACTCTCACATTCGTGAGGCAAAGTACTGTACGTACTGTAGCGGAGTAAATGCAGCGGAGTTTTCTCCGTAGCCATTCCATCGTACTGATTGTCTGCCGTGGCCATTGTACTGTAAGAGAAAGAAGGTGTAATCCCACGTGTCTCTTCGAATCGTTGGAAAATGTGAGGATATCGCCCCATTGTACCAACCAACTGAAGAAATACTGTAAGTCGATGCTAGAGCTTGTAATTAACCAGTTTGAACAATGAAAGAATACATCACCATTTCGGTGGACCGTTATAGTTCTTCTTGTCTCACCCATGGCCGAAACAAAGAATGCATCATGGAACGTCGCCAATGTATTTCAGGGTGAAAACATAGCAACTGATATGACATTGAGAATATTCCCCATTCCATCTGAGCGCTCTTATCTTTGCCTTGGCTTCCTCCTTCCCTTCTCCGTCTCGATCGATGCTGCAACTTGGTAGTCTGCGATAGCACTGAAAGTCACACAGTCGCCATCATCTCGAGACATCATGTGTTCATCAAACACTCTCTCCTCTTCGGAGGTCTTGAAGGGCATGGGAATCTCTATGAGATGTGGTTGCGACGTGGTCTCATCATTCGATGTTATCTCGTCGACATCCTGGCCTTCTTCCGTCAACGACGGGGAGGGTTTTCCTTTCTAGCACTGTAGTCAATTGGCCTTGTTGACAACACGACACCGTTTTGATTACTCACGCGTCTCAATTTCTGTGGTAACTTTTTCGTCATCTGATCGAACCTCATCGTTGTCGTCGTCGCGAAACATCTTCTCATCGGATGAAAAGTCATTGTCTGAACACGTAGGAACTGATGCAACTTCGCTGAACGTGCAACTACTGCAACACTCCATATACGCCGCTCGATTTCCCTTCAGACCTACTAGCTCTATGCTAGGTTCATTGAGGAAGTTTTCTTCCACTGCACTCCTGAACTCCTCGAGAGCTGGTACTACAGTCTCGATAGGGTAGGACTGCCTAGCCGAGCCAGCTATGGCTCGTAGAGGGTCAAAGTCCAAGGTATTGGCATTCTGCACTATGGCAGCTGTAGCCTCTCGAGCCTTTCGCTCTTCCTGCGGCAGTTCATCAAGCACTGTGCCACAATCCTTGCAGGCTGCGCGGGCTGCGTAGAACCTCTTCTATCAACATTGGGATGTGCGCATGTCCCTGGGTTGGCTAGTTCAATCGTCTTCTTGTTCTTCTGCGCCCAACCACACTTCTTGCATGTACGCATTTCTATGAATGCGTTGGAACCTGTCTTGCTGAAACTCTTGCAAGATGGAAAGCGTCGCTCTCGGGCATTCCCGGTATCATCAACGGCGCCCTGTAACACTGCTGAAATCTTCTGCTTCTTGTCCAGGGCTACGGGCGGATGCCTCTGCAGTATCTGCAAGTGCGGGAGCTTGTTCAGCATCACCCTGGACTTGGGGACTCTGTCCTCCCTGAGTTCTCGGCCGTCTCCGGTACGCTGTCCAAGGATCTGGAACCATTAGCTGGTCCACTCCTGCCTCTGCCATTCGGCATACGAGCAAGAAGAACCTTGGTTAACTCGCGCCTCATGCGTTCACGGTGTTGTAGTACACGAGCCTGGGTCCTGAACTTCCAGCCGTCGAAGCCGGATGCTGTGCCGGAATAGATGCAGGAGCCGGACTTGGTTTCAAGCGGCGTTCCAAATGCGTCACGCGGAATATATCGAAGACCTGCAACCGACATGGCGAGAGAAAAAAAACAGACACGGGGCTTTGCCCTTACCTAGCTATGGGCTTGAGGGTGACTTAGTCACAGTACGGGGTGAGACAGCTGCTCTGTCCCCTGGTTGGATGCCGCCGACCCCTGCTTCATGAGCAGGGTGGGGCTCCGATACCAGTTTGAGGGAGCGTGGATGAGCAGCGACTGCGTAGCACTTTTCGGCAGTTGAGGTCTGAGCTCAAGGCCTGTGGCAAGTAAGACGAAACTGAACCTACGCCCCCGTACTCGGGGGGGTTCTTCAGAGTTCTTAGACGAAAGAGAACACCTACAGGAGATGTGGCCTCGGCTACACACTATACAGACGACAAAACAGGCAAAATCTCACAAGGGTTTAGGGTTTTGGGGTTTAGGGTTTAGGGTTTAGAGTTTAGGGTTTAGGGTTTGGTGCACATCCGCCTCTCCGGATGCAGTGTCCCCCGCATCATCGCGCGGCGTGTCCATGCTCTCGTCATCTTTGAACTCAGCCTCGGCCTCGGTTTCGGGTTTCGGGTTTCGGGTTTAGGGTTTAGGGTTTAGGGTTTAGGGTTTAGGGTTGCTTAAACTCCTCAAACCTGTGTAAACCCGAAACTTGGGATGTTGCCCCTTATACTCATCGTCCTTCAGAGGGATTATGGTACGGGTACTATAACCCTGTTAGTGTAGGGGGGGAACATCCCAACCCGAAACCCTAACACGCCCCAGGAAAAAAAAAAAAACAACCAGGTGCAGGCTTTGTGGCGGTCTTTGCAGGGACAGTGCTCGCTTTTTTGTCCAGCAGCCACATCCTGAAAATGCTTCTTTTGGTAGGTTTGGGGGGGGGGGGGGGGACTTTGGGTTGAAGGAGCTTAGGGTCTACACCCAAGAGTAACCTAGGAATAAAAAGGGTTCGTACCAATTAAAAACGGCTTAGAAGGGAACATAAACCCTAACGAAAAGCGACAAAGGGCTTACGTTGGGTCCCGGGGTCTTAGGGGCATGATTCTGGGAAACTAGTTCGGATGCCAGGCACCCTAAACCCTCAACCCGAAAACCCTCAAAACCTTTAGGGTTCGAGGCCTCCTGCGCTGGTCCGTGGCTGGGATTTAGGGGTTAGAGGTTTAAAGGGTTAAGGGTTTGGGGTTTAGGGTTTGGGGTTTAGGGTTTCGAATGCAGATCTCAAAAAGCAATTGTAGTATAGGGGGCCTTAATAGTTAGAATAGGGTTGTGGGACATACCATGGTGTAGCTATGAAGGGGCCATCGGGGAATATTCTTAGTAATTTATTCGACCCCTATATTGGAGAGTTTAGGGTTTGGGTTTAGGGTTTAGGCACGGACATAAACCCTAAACCCTAAACCCTAAACCCTAAACCCTAAACCCTGAACCCTAAACCCAGAAAGCTTCTCAAGGTCACATCCCGAGGTTCAGGGAGCCGGGCTCGAAGCCGCGCACGCTTTTGAAGGCCATGGCGGGCTTTTGAAGACCCCAAACCCTAAACCCTAAACCCAACCCTAAACCCTAAACCCTAAACCCTAAACCCTAAACCCTAAACCCTAAACCCTAAACCCTAAACCCTAAACCCTAAACCCTAAACCCCCAGCGGCCAGGGGGTCTTCAATCCCTAACTGTCTAGGCGTCGTTGTTGTTGTCTTTTCTGAAACGTTGGTATTTGTGTATGTGCTTCTGCATACTTCTTATGTCATATCTATAGGCACTCATGTGGTGTATGCGATGTTGTTCTGTTTTGCGTGTTTCTTGTTTGAAAAACTGATATGTCATGTTCCGTGTTGTATGTTTCAGCGCGTAGTTCATCTTTCCTCTTCAAATTCATGCTCGTATTTCTACATATACATGTGGGGTGTTTACGAACATTAGGGACCCTCAACATAGACCCGCAAATAGTAGGAAGCCCTTATTATAAGGTACCCCTACTTTCGGAAACCCGGGAAAGCCCCATTTCTACATATACACGCATACACCTAGTGACACCCTTTGCAACCTTTACAAAGGCATGCGGTGACTTCATGTTTTTGGGTGGCTCCTTCCTATTTCCAGCCCTCGAAAAACCCAAACGTAGCCACAGTGATAGGGTTTAGGGTTTAGGGTTTAGGGTTTAGGGTTTAGGGTTTAGGGTTTGGGGTGAAGTTGTCTGTCATATAGCCTTTCATAGGTAACTAAGGGCTTCGGGCTCTGCCAGGCTCACTCCAGAGCGGCTCAGGTAGCAGTAGGGTTTAGGGTTTAGGGTTTAGGGTAACACCTGCTCGTCAGTGCTTTGTGCTCAAGGTTTAGGGGCTTTTGAGCTGGGGTTTGAAAGTTTAGGGTTTAGGGTTTAGGGTTTAGGGTTTGGGGCTTTACGGTTTGCCTCTTTGGACCCAGGTTTGGGTTCGGGGCCCACTACAGAAGGCAAACCCACGCCAAGAGCCCTAAGCTCAAACCGCCCCCCCGGCCTCGCAGCGGGGACCCTATAGGGTTTAGGGTTTAGGGTTTAGGGTTCAGGGATGCTATAACATTTTAAACACGGCCCTTTATAGGGCTGATTATGGGGATTCTCGGGCCGAATAGCACATCCTGGCACGGTCATTAGCAGCAAACCCTAAACCCTGAACAAGCCAAGTGGCACTTCACCCGCGTGGAGCCAATCCTCGTAAGCCTTCATGTCTGACCTCGTCTGAGCGCTTTCGCTTTCTTCGAATTGATGAAGAACGCCCCCCCAAAATGTCAAATCTTCCTCCTTATATGGGTAATATTGGGATTATTATGTTCTATTTTGCTTGGAGGTTCTGAAGCAAATAGTAGTTCAGGGTTTATGGTTTAGAGGTTAGGAGTTTAGAGCTTGAAGACCTCCAAGGCAGTAGGTCTACTGATTTTTTGTGCCTTTGTTGTTTTTGCTCTATCTCTCTTTCTCTCGTTCTCTCTCTCTGGTTCTTTCTTTCTTTCTGCGCACCCGAGTCTGTTGGTGTGAAAGGTGGGAATGTTGAGGGGAAGGAACGACCACTCCCACAATGTGTGCTCGGCCAAAAAAATAATCCTAGGAGTGGCCCCTTTGGGTTCTCCCTCCCAAGGGTTTACGGTAAGGGTTTAGGGTTTAGGGTTTAGGGTTTAGGGTTTGGGGTTTAGAGTTTAGAGTTTAGGGTTTAGGGTTGTCGACCGATTCGTGCGTAATCTGAGAAACCGCCCCAAATTGAGACCGTGGCACTGTGTGTGATGCCTCTTCTCGCCTCTTCTTGGCAAACCAACGACGATACATGTTGAGAAAGTGCTGGGTTGTAAGGAAAAGCTCCTAGATCATTTCCCACCACAGTATGGCAATGGGCTGGAAGGTGAGTTCGGAATTCTGTTTAATATATATATATATAAACCCGAGACCCACAACTGCCATATCAAGGAGCTCGGCGATGAGTCCCGACTGGAAAATGCCCAGGTCCTTCGCTGCCGTAGGGCGTGAGGTTTAACAAGCTGAGGAGGCAGGGTTTAGGGCTTAGGCTTTTGGGTTTAGAATTTAGGGTTTAGGCTCTAAACCCTAAAACGGGATAATTGGGTTCTGTAGGAATTAGGAGGGTTGTAGAGCTGATCATGTATTCCTCATGTATTCCTGCAACCCAAATCAACCCCTAGCGGCCCAAACCCTAAACGCTAAACCCTCAACCCTGCCCTACCCTAAACCCTGAACCCAAAACCGCAAAGACTCCTTTCTTAGTTGCTGGCGCCCTTGTGGGGAGCCGACTTTGGGGGGAGCCGGTGCATGCCGCATCAGCAGATGGGTTTCTGAAATTAGGGGTACCCTAAACCATAACCCTAAACCCTAAACCCTATACCCTAAACCCCAAACCCTAAACCCTGAAAGCTTTCTTGCTGATGGTTCCCGAGGCGCAAGTTAACAATCTTAGGCTTTCGGGTGTGGTTCCGGGTTTAGGGTCTAGGGTTTGGGTCTTAGGGCTTAATTAGTGGATTGGGCCTACCCTAAACCCTAAACCCCTAAACCCTACACCCTAAACCCTAAACCCTGAACCCTGAACCCCAAACCCTAAACCCTTTTAACGCCTGAAGCGTGGGTGCGTTGGGCCGCGCAGCTTCTGCCCACGTTTTTGCATTGCGTCCGAGCTGCTGCACCAGACATGGACCCGCTAATCCTCGCTTGGGTTCAGGGTTCAAGGTTCAGGGCTTAGGGTTTAGGGTAGGGTTTGGGGTTTAGGGTTTAGGTTTTAGGGTTTAGGGTTTAGGGTTTAGGGTTCAGGGTTTTAGGGTTTAGGGTTTAGGGGTTTAGGGGTTTAGGGTTTGGGGGTTTTGGGGTTTTGGGGGTTTGGGGTTTAGGGTTTTAAGGTTTAGGCTTTCACACCCCATAAAGAAGGTCAGGGACCGTATGAAGGGACCATGTAACTTCCCTTAGAGAGGTGCTCATACCTAAGAACCCAAACCTGGGATGTCAAAGAATCGAAGGTGAAGGGAATCAAGGGGCAGGCTTTCGGGTTTAGGGTTTAGAGGAATCCCTTGTGTTAAAGTTGAGTGTTTATGATGTAAGGTTGCAGGTGTAGGGTTCGGGTTTGGGAGGCCCAGGGTTTCGGGGAAAACCGAACCTAGACCTAAATCCCCAAAACACTCCCACGATAGACCCTGAGTGCACTCAACCCTAAACCCTAAACCCAAAATCCTAAACCCTAAGCCCTAAACCCTAAACCCTAAACGCCAAACCCTAAACCCTAAACCCTAAACCCTAAACCCCTAAACCCTAAACCCTAAGCCCTAAACCCTAAACCCTAAACCCTAAACCTTCGAAGGCGGAGCTCTGGATCTCCAACGCCATCCACATCATGTTGATGCAAAGCAACACGGCCATCCTCAGCATGCTTTGGACTCTGCAAGGTCTTGCTAGGGTTTGGGGTTTAGGGTTTAGGGTTTAGGGTTTGGGGTTTAGGGTTTAGGGTTTAGGAGTTAGGCGCTTAGTTAGAGGGTGCCAGCAGCCCTATTCACAGATCGGGGGATGGTTTCGAGGTCGACCAGAATTAAGACACATATAACTCTTAAACCCAAAACGCAAAACCCAAAATCCTAAGTCCTGAACCCTAAACCCTGACGTCAAAAGTGGAGAATATAACTCCCGCTGACCCGCCCCCAAAAAAGCCGTTAATTGGGAAACCCAGGTAGACCCTCAACCACTGCGGCCAATTCAGAGCAGCACAAAAACGCTAAGAGTGGGCTCTTGCCCCAAATTTGCCATGACATGGTTTGGGGTTTAGGGTTAGGGTTTAGGGTTTAGGGTCTAGGGTTTAGGGTTTAGGGTATAGGGTTAGGGTTCAGGGTTTGGGGCTAAGGGTTTAGGGATTAGGGTTCAGGGGGGCTTTCGAAGGTTGCTAGGACCGTCGGTGCTCAGGCAAATGTTGCGCCATTGCGATGCGAGCCACAGCATCTCGTAGAAGTTGGACTGCAAGGCAAGCTCCATCTTCTCCAGCCTTGTCATCTTCCTGTAGCCTTGGCGCACAGGTTTCAAGGGGTTTAGGGTTTAGGGTTTCGGGTTTAGGGTGAAAGGGCTCAGGGTCTAGGAGTTCCGGGTCTAGGGTTTTCTTCACCGGGGGTTTAGGGTTTGGCGTCTCAGGGTGTTTGGGGTGTAGGGAAACTCTCTGGCCTTCAACGATAAGTGCATGATTGTTCTTGAAAGTCTACTCTACCACTCATACTTAGGAGTTTAGGGTTAACCCCTGCATCTTGGTAGCCCGGTACCCATATCATGATAAGTGCACCCTAAACCCTAAACCCTAAACCCGAAACCCTTTTTAGCTTGGTTGCTTTATACCGGAACCTTGAACCAAAAAAAAGGAATTAAAGGGTAACACTGGGCTGCCAAGGGATGCGGCTGGCATAAATATCGGGTACGGGGTTTAGGGTTTAGGGTTAAGGATGGTTAGGGTTTATGGTTTAGGGTTTAGGGTTTAGGGTTTGGGGTTTAGGGTTTAGGGTTTAGGGTTTAGGGTTTAGGGTGAGACGCCAAGTCAACCACCATCCCCCGAAGATCTATGAAAGCAACTCAGCCAAGCCTGCAGCATCTTGCCTAGACCCTAAACCCTAAAACCTAAGCCCTAAACCCTAAACCCTAAACCCCAAACCCCAAACCCCAAATCCCAAACCCCAAACCCTAAAGCCTAAAGCCTAGGCGCGCAAGGGATCCTACGCCTCAAACAAAACAAAAAACCAAACTAAAGGTGCTGCCGGGCCCAAAGCGGGTTTGGGGTCTAGGGTTGAAGGTGCTGACGGGCAGGTTTAGGGTCAAGGTGTTTAGGGTTTAGGGTCCAAGGTGTGGGGTTTAGGGTCGATGGGGTTGTTTGGGACGGCTTCAGGCGGGTGTCCCTTTACTGCTTCATAGCAGGCTTGTGTAGACATGACATGAGTTCTGAGTCCCTAAACCCTAACCCCTAAACCCCAAACCCTAAACCCTAAACCCTAAATCCTAAGACTACAGACCTCAACATGACAAACACAGGAGACCCCTAAACCCTAATCCCTAACTATATCAAAGAGCAACCTTAAACCCTAAGCTCTAAACCCTACACCCTAAACCCTAAACCCTAATCCCTAAACCCTAAACCCTAAACCGAAACCCTAAACCCTAAACCCTAATCCTAAACTCTAGACCCTAAACCCTAAACCGAGAAATCGTTGGACCCGGCAACGCTCCAAATACTCGGAGGGCGTCTCCAGCAGCAGAATGGCCATGTCGGCTCCTGTTCCGGAAAGCATATTTGTCAAAACAAGGGTTTAGGGTTTAGGGTTTAGGGTTTAGGGTTTAGGGATAGTTCACACAAAGGAAGTAGACAGAAAAGATAAACACATAACGTCAAAAGATATTAATAAGGATGCCGCCCAGGAGCCTGCAAATACAGACCCCCCACAACTTCCTAACCCCCCTAAACCCTAAACCCTAAACCCTAAACCCCAAACCCTAAACCCTAAACCCTAACCGCCAAACAGTCCTACTCCACCCTCCCCGCTGTCCTGACTCGAATGGCAAACCACCATCCTTCTCCTTAAGGGGGCTTACGGCTTGGGGGTTTTAGGGTTTAGGGTTTAGCGGTTTAGGGTTGAGGGGTTTTAGGGTTCAGAGGGTTTAGGGTTTTGCAGTTTAGTTTTAGGGTTGAGGGTTTAGGGTTCTGAGGTCTAGGATTGAGGGTTTAGGGTTAAGGTTAAGGTCTAGGTTGTTTTAGTACGGGATGAAGTACCCCATATTATGGTCTTTCATGGGTGTATGTATGAAAATACATATACATATACCTATACATATACATATATACATATATATATAGAAACATATATATATATATAGGACCATATAGGAGGGGTCTGGGGTGCCGACTTCCCTCATTCCCTCCTCAGAACCAGCTGGCAAACCTGCCTGCGGCTCCAACGGGAACACCCCTCAAACCTTTATGTTCCAAGAAATGAGAACCCTAAACCCTAAACCCTAAACCCTAAACCCTAAACCCTAAACCCTAAACCCTATACCCTAAACCCGAAACCCGAAACCCGAAACCCTAAACCCAAAACCGCAAACAACATAACAATGATTAACAGTACTACAACACAACGGAGAATATGCAGAACAAGTCACACAATCAGCAAGAGTACGAACAAAGCTGCGCATGTCCATCCCTAAACCCTAAACCCTTGGCACCGATCCCCAAACCCCAAACCCAAAACCCTAAACCCTAAAACCCTAAACCCTAAACCCTAAAACCCTAAACCCTAAACCCTAAACCCTAAACCCTAAACCCCAAACCCTAAACTGCAAGGCCATGCCAAGCCAGAGGTTCCGAAGAGCCAGGGCCCGAGTGCTCTTCCTTGTGCGCGCGCAGGAGGATTGGTCTTGGGGTTTGGGGTTTAGGGTTTAGGGTTTAGGGTTTAGGGTTTAGGGTTTAGGGTTTAGGGTTTAGGGTTTAGGGTTTAGGGTTTAGGGTTTAGGGTTTAGGGCGCAGAGGTTGAGGGTTTAGGGTTTAGGGCTTATAGGGTTTAGGGTATCGTCCCGTTTTGTGCGTTCTTGATTGGGGAGCCCTTCTATACCCCTATAACAAGCCGAAGGGCCCATACTTCAGAACCCTAAACCCTAAACCCTAAACCCTAAACCCTAAACCCTAAAGTTAAAGAAGGTAAGGGGACCTTACTGAGGGACCATGCAACTTCCCCTAGAATTCAGGGGAGGGCTGGGACTTGCTCAGGAGTCAGAGTTTCGGGTTGGGATGTTTCCCCTTATACCAACAGGATTATAACAGGGGGCACAACACGTAATCCCTATTCAGGACTGTTTGTAGAAGGGGAAACAAACAGGAAACATCCCAAGCTTACGGCTTAGTTGCTTGGCTCCCTGATGACACGCCCACAACTGTCAAGTAGTAAGCCTAAACCCCAAACCCTAAACCCCAAACCCTAAACACTAAACCGGGGTATGCCAAAGCCCTGGCGTCCCCTTTTTTGTGACATTTGCTTTGGCTTCAAATTCCTAAACCCTAAACCCTAAACCCCAAACCTCAAACCCTAAACCCTAAACCCTAAACCCTAAACCCTAAACCCTAAACCCTAAACCCGAAGGCTCGTGGGATGTGAGGTTGGTGCATGCCTGAGTTCTTGTACTCGATGTAGCTTCCAGACTACTTCGGTTTAGGGTTTAGGGTTTAGGGTTCAGGGTTTAGGGTTTAGGGTTTAGGGTTCAGGGTTCAGGGCTTAGGGTTTAGGGTTTTGGGTTTGGGGCTCAAGTAATACAGGGGCCTTGGTAACTAGAATAGGGCTTTGGGGGGGTTATTATAGTCTAACTACATAGGGACCCTGAGGGAATACCCTTCGCAGGTATTCCGACCCTAAACCCTAAACCCTAAACCCTAAACCCTAAACCCTAAACCCTAAACCCTAAACCCTAAACCCTAAACCCTAAACCCTAAACCCTAAACCCTAAACCCTAGACCAGCGCGTGACCCTGCACTTGGAGCAATTTGTCCGCAGCTCGGATGACAGGAGCCCTCCCGCCACGGGGGGATTGAACCCATAGGGTTTGGGGTTTGGGGTTTGGGGTTTAGGGTTTAGGGTTTAGGGTTTACGTCAGTGCGGCACATTCGAGGCTCGCTCTGGAGTCCTCGGCAGCCCTGTGTTCAACGACAAAAAAAACTTGGAGGCCAAAACACCACACAGAGACATGAGGGTTAATCTTGGGGTACCTTGTTGGGGTTCCGATTATTAGAGAATCTTACTATTTGGGGGCATTATTGGGGGTGTAGGGTTTAGGGTTTAGGATTTAGGGTTTAGGTTTTTGGGTATTGGGGGACATTATTAGTGGTCCCTTTCTTTCGCAAACCCCCGCATGCTTCTTAAACACAATTCCCGCACTGGCAGCTGCTCATGCGAGGTGAAGAGGGATCTCCGTGATCTCCGCCCTAAACCCTGAACCCTGAACCCTAAACCCTAAGCTAGAGAGAAAGCCAGTCCTCGATCGCTTCAAGATCATGCCCGCCGTGGGACAACATTACAACGACCCAGCCTAACAAGCTCGTGCTGAGAATCGAGATCCAGTAGCCATAGTCCTGAGCTGGCCAAGGGTTTCGGGTTTAAGGTTTAAGGGTTTAGGGTTTAGTTCTAGGCAACCCCCCCCCCCCCCCCCCCCAAACACAAAAAACAAAAAGAAAGATGTCACCAAGTTCTGGGTATCTCCTTCTATGGAAAAAACTCCCACATTGCAAGCTCCATGGGTCCGTCCACAGCACATGCGAAACAAACCTGAGCATGTTGAAGCCGAAAAGTCGAAAAACTGCGCACTGCAGAAGGAGGAGGACCAGCACCTGGCGGTTGGCGATACTAGGGGGTGCCTTATTGGGGTCCTTTTGATAACGGAATGCCCCTAAACCCTAAACCCTAAACTTTTGCCCTAAACCCTAAACCCTAATCCCTAAACCCTAAACCCTAAACCCCTATTTTCGGAGACCAGCACCTCGATAAGAAAGCCCAAGCCATTCCCGACCAGCGCGGCCCTGAGCTCCATGTCCTTGAAGAGGTAGATGTACCTTGGGCTTTAGGTTGGGTTAAGGGTTTAGGGTTTAGGGTTTAGGGTTTAGGGTTTAGGGATTTTCGTGGCTTAAGGGGTGCAATGTAGCCCTCAGGGTTTAGGGTTTAAGCTTGAGTTTTTTTCAAGCTTAAACCCTAAACCCTGAGGGCTACATCGAACCCCCTTAAGCCACGAAAATCACTAAACCCTAAAACCCCAAACCGTAAACCCTAAACCCTAAACTCGAAAACAAGATCAGCTCAGCTCAGACACTCCCGGTTCCATCCCAACGGGCCGTGCAGCATCACCGCCAAGACGATGTACAGCAACGGTACCAGCACCTCACAGAACTAACCCTAAAGCCTAAAACCCCAGAACCCTAAACCCCAAACCCTAAACCCTAAACCCTAAACCCTAAACCCTAAACCCTAAACCCTATCCAGCACCTCACAGAGCTCCACCAGCCCAAAAACCACCATGCATCTGGTGAAGCAGCCGAGTAGGCGCACGTCGGCCAGAGGAAGATCTGCCTGCTGGAGGCTGTCTTGGGTTTAGGGTTTAGGGTTTAGGGTTTAGGGTTTAGGGTTTAGGGTTTAGGGTTTAGGGTTTAGGGTTTAGGGTTTAGGGTTTAGGGTTTCGGGTTTAGGGTTTCGGGTTTAGGGTTTCGGGTTTGGGGTTTGGGGTTTGGGGTGGGATTTGGGGTTTGGGGTTTGGGGTTTAGGGAAAGATCTCTGCCTGTTGGAGGCTGTCTTGGGTGTGGAGGCGGAAGATGGTGAAGATGTCAATAAGCCTCTCCCTGGCGTCCATCAAGAGAGACCACTTCTGTCGAGTTACAGCCAGCAGCTCGCAAGGCGTGATGAGGGGCAGCCGTGGACAGGAGCAAGTTGGACAGGAGGAGGTACCTGCATCACCTTAGCCCTAAACCCTGAACCCTAAATCCCGAACCCTAAACCCGAAGCCCTAAACCCTAAACCCTAAACCCTAAACCCTAAACCCTAAACCCTACACCCGCCTTCGCGAGAGGCCTCCATGGCCTCAGAGGCCTCGGCCTCGGCCTCCGACAGCAGCTGAAAGCACATCTTCAGGAAGATTGCCGCCGCCTGTAGGGTTTAGGGTTTAGGGTTTAGGGTTTGGGGTTTAGGGTTTAGGGTTTGGGGTTTGGGGTTTAGGGGTTTAGGGCCGTTTAGGGGTTTTGGGGTTTAGGGGTTTCGGGTTTCGGGTTTAGTGCTTCGGGTTTAGGGCCCAGCCTTTGCCGCATCTTGGGCCAGCATTAGCAGGAGCACGGTCGTGGACTTGGCGCTGGAAAGGAGGGCAGCTGTGTAGACGAACGAGACGAAGATAATCATGACCTTGATTTAGGGCTTAGGGTTTAGGGTTTAGGGTTTAGGGTTGCCCAGTACCCATACTAGGATAAGGGTACCCTTTTTTGGGGTTGGTTACTTTATAAGGGAACCTTGCACGAAAAAATGGGAAAAAGGGTACCACTGGGCCACCAAGCCTTGATTTCGTACAAGAGGTAGGTCGGCAGGGCCAACCACATGCCTATCCTCTCCATCAGGATTGCCGAGACAGCGAGCAAGCTGGTCAGTGCGAAGCTGCCCAGCACCTGTAACACTTCCGTGAGCTTGGGGAAAACTGCTAGCCAGAGCATGAAGAGCATGCTCTGACCAGGATAGGCGATGAATCCGAAGGTGACGTACATCCACCACCTGCGAACATCTGCAGTCATGAGATCTGCCGGGATGGACAGGCCAGCAGCCAGGAGTGCCACCATTTGCGCCGGTACAGCCGCCGTGAGAACGAGGTAGGGCATGGGAAAGAGGCCGCAAGCGCCCGCGATGGTCTGAATGGCCACGCAGGCTATTGGGCCGACGACAGGAACCCAAAGGCCCTTCCAGCCCATCTGCGCCCTGAATGCCGGTGAGATGCTCCGAAACAGCAGCAGAACGCCGGAGCCACTCACCACCTTAGTTGCTGAGTTCATAAGCCCCCAAAAAAGTCTACACTTTCAGTTCTATAGGGGAGTATAGTATCCCAAAAATTGTAAAGTGTACTCACTCAGCACCTAAGCCACATACATCATGGAGGGTATGGCCAGGAAGTTGAAACGCCAATTGGCCCAGAAGCCTTCCGAAGGGGAAGAAAAGGGCATCACCTTAGTTGCTGAGTTTTTTTACAGGCCCCAAAGACGTGCACGTTTTCAGTTCTATAGGGGATTATGGTATCCCAAAAAGTGTAAAGTGTACTTATTCAGCTATTAAGTCACCAAGGACCAAAAGGACGTGGTGGAGACCAGTATCAGAAGGCCAAGGACAACCAGCATCGTCTTCGCAACACGGGTGCACATGCCTAGTTCCATGGTTGGGATAGCATTTTGAAAGCTGAAACTCAATTCCTGTTTGAGTTGGGGGATAGTATTTAAAAGACTCAAACGCTTATTCCTTATTGAGTTTAGGTACCCTTAAGAATGCAAAATGCTACCCCACTATGACAACTAAGTAGCCAAGTAACCATGTTCTAATAAGGGTGCCCTTTTTTGGTTGGTTACTTTGTAAGGGAACCCAGAACCAACAGTAAACCCTCTACCCTAAACCCTAAGCCGTATGACAAAGATGCTCGGTCCCTAAACCTTAAACCCTAAAACCTAAACCCTAAACCCTAAACCCCAAACCCTAAACCTAAACCCTAAGCCGTATGACAAAGATGCTTGGTCCATCCGCACAGCCGGCTTCCAAGTAAAGCTGCATGACGGGCTCAACTCCCTCGAGGAACGCCACCTCAACCCTAAACCCTAAACCCTAAACCCTAAACCCTAAACCCTAAACCCTAAACCCTAAACCCTGAAACCCTCAACCCTAAACCCTAAACCCTAAACCCTAAAACCTAAACCCTAAACCCTAAACCCTAAACCCTAAACCCTAAACCCTAAACCCTCCCTCCAGAAAGGCCACCCTGTCCAGGGAAGACTTCGACTTGTCCATGGTCACCCTGGCCTTGATATCCCAGAGAAACCATTCTCCTAATAAGGTTTAGGGTTTAGGGTTTAGGGTTTAGGGTTTAGGGTTTAGGGTTTAGCGTTTAGGGTGTGGTTATTTACGTTCGAATACGCACTTTTTGAATAAGGGCAGGGCACCCTTTTTGGGGCAATATGTAATAAGAGAACCTAGAGCCCCAAAAAGGAAAAAAGCCTAGGGTACCACGAGGCTGCCAAGTCGCAATCGTGAAGGACCCCCGGCGCTTGCTGCCCTGGCTACCGCGACTCACACTGTGCTGCTCGTTCACATCGCTAACCTAGTTCATGGTAGGGATAATATTAAAAACTGAAATTTCTATTCTTTATGGGGTTTAAGTAGGGATAATATCAAAAATTGAAATGTCTATTCCTTATAGGGTTTATTTAAGTAGCCTTAAGAATGTAAAATGGTACCCAACTATGACAGAGCAACGGACTCTTCAGACCTCCGCGACCTCTGTGAGCTCATAGGGCTCTTGTTGGGATCCTCACAGTGATCCTGATCCTGAAACTCTGCAAGCTCTTTGGGAAAGGTACCCGGCAGTGGTAGGGCTCCTGCGCTGGGGTCATCCACAGGAGTCTTAGCTGGAGACGTCGTGGGAGGCTTCTCAGATGGTTCGGGCACCGCTGCTCGGTTTGGCGGTGTGATGAAGATGTGCGGGCTCACGGCGCTGCCTCTCTCCGCAAGCGACTTGCTTGGCAAGTTGGCTTCATCCGGAAAGATCGACGAAAACTCACATGGACTGGCCATGAAAACCGTGCCCCGGAACGAAAAACCATGTCATGCTCCTCCGCGCATCTTGGCCCGCTCCAGCTTGTCCGACAGCGGGCTCGAGCCACCGAAGCACAAGCGACTTGGTCTGCGTCTTAGGGCGAAGGCTGTCACCACTCAAGCTCTCAAAAGCCTTAAGCCCGAAACCTTCTGAACCTCCTAAACCCCCAAAAGAGGCACCTAAAGCAGATGAGGTTTAGGGTCGTGTTTCCCCTTCCCATTTTTTGGTTAAGAGCACAGGGGTTTAGGGTTTGGGGTTGTGGGTCAGAGGCTTGATACAAGGTTGAACCCAGCCTCAACTTAACCCTAAAGCATCCTCAAGCCAAACCAAGACCACCGGTATCTTCGGGTTCTAGCCTCATCAATCATGGATAACCCTAAACCCCAAAACTATTAAATCGTAAACCTGACCTCGAGGGTTCTGGAGGTAAGAAAGATTAGGGTTAGGGTTTAGGGCTTAGGGTTTAGGGCTAAGCCCTGTAGGGCTCATGGGGTTTAAACGATTGCGGTTGAGGGTTTCCCGAAAGCCATACCCGAGCGACGTATCCTGGAGACTACTCAACAGAACACACTGCCTGACTGTGTCGCACATTTTCTGGCGGTTAAGGCTTAGGGTTTAGGATTTAGGGTTTAGGGCTTAGGGTTTAGGGTTTAGGGTTGAGGTTTAGGGCTTTGGGGTTTCGAGCTTTGGGGTTTGGGGTTTCGGGTTTAGGGTTTAGGGTTTAGTGCTTGTGCTTGATGGGACGTTTAGAGGGGCGTGACCCCTGAGAAAGGCAGATCCCAAACCCTAAACCCTAAACCCTAAACCCTAAACCCTAAACCCTAAACCCTAAACCCTAAACCCTAAACCCTAAACCCTAAACCCTAAACCCTGACCCCTAAACCCTAAACCCGAACTTAAGCGCTGAACCTGAAAACCCTGAACCCGAAAACCTAAAACCCTAAGCCTAGAACATAAAACCCACCCTGATACTTTCCCAAGACCCCTAAACCACCTAAAAGCACTAAAATACGGCAACCCCAAAACCCAAAAGCATACCCCCAAACCGTAAGAAACCTGACACCTTCAACCCTACAGTCTTAAGCCACCATTCGTAAACCTATGCCCCAAAACCAAAACCCTAAACCCTAAAGTCTCAAGCCAACACTTCTCCACGCAACGCGAGGAGCCCATCTCAGGCCCTGAAACCCTGCAACGGTTTAGGGTTCAGGGTTCAGGGTTCAGGGTTCAGGGTTCAGGGTTCAGGGTTTAGGGTTTAGGGTTAGGCACACCTAAGGCCCCCAAGCAAAACTCACCACCTAACATCCTAAGTCCCTGAAGACCCTAGAGCATCCGACACCTCCATCCTCAAACCCTAAACCCCTTTTTGGAGTTTAGGGTTTGGGCTTTGGGGTTTAGGGTGCGAGTTTAGGGTTCAGAGTTGAGGGAGCACGGATCTGACTTAACCTTGAAAACTCTCACGCACCCTAAACCCTAAACCCTAAACCCTAAACCCTAAACCCTAAACCCTAAACCCCTCTTTACAGGCTGCCGAGCGGCCCAAGCCTCCAAAATTTGTGACGCGTGCAGCTCAGGCAAGGCGCGCTTCTGCTGACCTGGGTTGACCCCAAAGCCTACACCCTAAAACCCTAGGTTTAGGGTTTAGGTTTTATAGGGTTAAGGGTTAAGGGTTTAGGGTTTAGGGTTAAGGGTTTAGGGTTTAGGGTTTAGACTAAAACCCTAGCCCTAAACCCTGAACTCTACAGCCTAAAAACGCTAACCCTTAAACCCTAACACCCTGAGGCCCAGACCCTCAACACCACATGTTGTGAGCCTCAAGGCACCAAAGTATAGCTTCCCAGTCCCCAAAGTTGTTGGGGTTTTTAGCGTCGAGGGTTAGGGTTTAGGGTTTAGGGTTAAGGGTTTAGGGTTTGGGGTTTGGGGTTTGGGGTTCAGGGTTGAGGATTAGGGTGTAGGGTTTAGGGCTTGAGGGCTTCTAAAGCGTGAGGATATGAAGGGTGCTGAGGTTTGCCTGCGGTTTTAGGGCCTTTCTAAGGTCGGAACCATGGGCCCTTCGTGTGACCCCTTACCCTTGTTTAAAGGGATCCGAAGTGTGGGCCCTAAAGAAGAAGAATAAGAAGAAGATGATGATTTTTCTTTCCATTCTTCTTCTTATTCTTATCACTATGAATACTTATATTTGGTGTATATAAGAGTTATAGAACAAGGGCCCCACATTAAGGGTCCATACGTGGAACCCTAGAGCCTTAGGGCGCCTAAAGTGGTGAGGTCTTTGGGTGTTAGGGTGTTAGGGTGTTTGAGTTAACATTAAACCTTAAACCCTAAACCCCAAACCCTAAACCCTATACCCTAAACCCTAATTAATCCCCAAACCCTAAACCCTCAACCCTGAACCCTAAGTTTAAGGGTTTAGCGCAGGGTCTGCAGAGCTGTCCCTGCGTGAAAGTTTGAGTTTACGGGTTCAGGGAGTTTAGGGCTTGGTGGTTTAAGGCTCACCCTAAACCTAAACCTTAACATCCTAATTTTGGGTTGTAGGGTTTTGAAATTTGGCCTTCAGGGAGAGGGGCTAGCTCGCCGTCGCTAAAACCCCATGCACCCTGAACCCTAAATCAAAGATCCCAGTCTTATACCAACGCCCATGCCCCAAACCCCCATCCCCAAAGCCTAAACCCTAAACCCTAAACCCTAAACCCCAGACCCAAAGTCCAATCCCCAAGCCCTAAACCCAAAAAACTCTCCTGGACCCGAAGCCCTGCACCGCTGACCCTAGGACGAGCAGCTCATGACGTCATTGACCGTGCTCCTTGGGCTTTGATGGTGCTTATCTGGTAGGGGTTTAGGGTTTAGGGTTTAGGGTTTAGGGTTTAGGGTTTAGGGTTTAGGGTTTAGGGTTTAGGGTTTAGGGTTTAGGGTTTAGGGTTTCACAGTAATTAGGTTGGAAGCAACTGAGTTAGAAGGCATAATTAGATGCCAGGTTGTTCTGCCACCCAGGAGCCCGATACCCTAAACCCTGAACCCCAAACCATGAAACCCCAAACCCAAAGAAAACCCTAAGCCTTAAGCCCGAAGCCCTAAGCCCTAAACCCTAAACCCTAAACCCCTAACCCCTAAACCCTAAACCCTAAACCCTAAACCCTAAACCCTAAACCCTAAACCCTAAACCCTAAACCCAAACACAATGAAAACCTACCATAGGGAGTCGGGGCTGAGGCGCTTCATCTTCAGAAGATGCGGCGCTGCCGGGAGTCCTGTCGGTTTGGGGCATAGGGCCTAGGACCCCTAAACCCTGAACCCTAAACCCTAAACCCCAAACCCTAAACCCTAAACCCTAGTGAGCTGCAGGGCATCGAAAGCTTCGGCGTTTCGTTGCTGGGTCTTTAGACCTTTGGCTCGGGAGCACGACGGCTTCGAGTTTTAGGGTTTAGGGTTTAGGGTTTAGGGTTTAGGGTTTAGGGTTTAGGGTTTAGGGCTTTAAGGTATCGGGTGTTAAGCTTTAGAGCTGTAGGGTTTGGTTTTGGATTTATGGTATAAGGATTTAGGGCTTAGGGCTTAGGGGTTTCAGGTCTAGGGTTTTAAGGTTTAGGGCCTTGGGGTTTAGGCTTTTATGGAGTGATGCTTTAAGGTTTAGAACTTAAAATGGAGGGTCTTTGGATTTAGGCTTCTGTTTTGGAGGGTATAAGTGTAAAATCAAGCCCCTGTTGGTTTAGAACTTCTTCCAGGATCTTGGGCTTGGTACAGAACAGCATGAAGTCCCATAAGGGTAGCTAGTGACAGCCCCTAAACCGTTTCTCTCCGGCAAGGTAGACCGTGCCACCAGAAAAAGGACACCCAACAACGAAAAACTCCAAGTCTTTTGTAAACGTAAGGGCCCGAAATTCATTGAAACCCATATTCTAGACACCCTAAACCTGAAACCCTAAAACCCTAAAGACCTAAACCCTTAACCCTTCAAACCCTAAGCCCTAAGCCCTAAGCCCTAAGCCCTAAGCCCTAAGCCCTAAGCCCTAAGCCCTAAGGCCTAAGCCCTAAGCCCTAACCCCTAAACCCTAAACCCTAAGTTGTTTCGACAGCTCGTGGCTGTTAGGGCTCCGGGTTTCGGGCTTTAGGGCTTAGGGCTTTAGGGATTACGGCTTGGGGCTTAGGGTTTAGGGCTAGCCCTAAACCCTAAACCCCTTTGGGCTCAGGCATCCAGCAACCTGACACGGGGTCACGACACTGCTTCCCCTAGTCCCTAAACCCCTAAACCCTAAACCCCTAAACCCCTAAACCCTAAACCATAAGCCCTAAACCCTAAACGTCCCTAACTTGCTGAAACGCATGGAAGCACAGCCTGTTGAGGCCATGTTCTCGGAATTGCCGCTGCACATCTCCAAGTCCTGCTTTCGCGTTTTAAGCTCTGGTGGCCACACATCCTCATGATGTGTGTCTCTCTCTACATATATATATATGTGTACATGCACTCATACATACATACATACATACATGCCTGCATACATACATGCATGCATGCATACATGCATACATACATACATACATACATACATATGCACGTACGCACGTACATACATATACATGCACACATACCTGCGTACGCATGTATGCTTATGTGTATCTATCTATATACATGCATGCATGTGTGTATGTATATATATATATATATGTACGTATGTATATACATATATATATATACATATGTGTGTACATGTATAGACATATATATATATATACATATATGTCTTCACATGTGCGTGCATTTTTATGTAGACATATGGTACACTTTCTATGTGTGCACAGTGCATGTGCACATATATAGAGATATATGCACACACCAACGAAGAAGACGAAGAAAAACAACACGACGACGACGACGACGACGACGACGACGACGACGACGACAAACAAATAAGAAGAAACAACGTCGTCCTAAGCATTACCATTACTGCTGTGTACTGTGCATATATATATATATGTATATATATATGTACATATACATGTATGTATATATATATACAATTTATGTGTATGTGTGTGTGTATGTGTGTGCGCGTGTGGGAGGTTTTGGGGTTAGTGTTTCTAGGGTCCCACCCTAAACCCTCAACCCGACACACTACGCGGAGTGTCGGGCAGTTGCATCGAGGGGCCAGGGTCTTGTCTGATCTGGGGTCGGTGAAGACGCTCGACTCCTGCGGGGCCGTCCAAGATCACACAGAAGCCGGCTTGGGCTTGGGGTTCAGGGCCTAGGGTTTGAGTCTGAGGTTAACCCTAAACCCTAAACCCTAAACCCTAAACCCTGAACCCTAAACCCTGAACCCTAAACGGCCTTGGATGCGGGCTCGGAGGCGGGGATTGGGAGGAGGGAGGGACGGGGCCTTGTTCCGTGGTCTGGACGCCTTCAATTGAATGGTTTAGGCCTTGGGGTGGGTGTATTGATACTACTATTGTTTCATTTACTATTGCTATGAGTATCCTTATGATTATGATGAAATTATGATTGTTTCCATGAAACTTATGACTCCTCTGACAATTCTTATTATAAAGTACATGATGTGTAGAGAAGTAGAGTATGTGCACCGCATGATGTTCATAAAACATATGTCATAGAAAAGAACCAAACGTAGACAAACAAACACTCTGTGTATGCACGTATGCATACCCATGCTTCGCCTTAGACTAGCAAGCCCCAACTCAACGCCCTAACCCCGAGTACAAAAACCACTGAAACCCTAAACCCTAAACCCAAAACTCTAAGCTTCAAACCCTGACTGAACAAAACCTCGAGGCCCCTCATCCCAAAACCTTGAGTCATCAAACTTGAATTCCTGAACCCGAACCCCCCCCCCAAAACAAAAAAAAAAAAAAACAAACCCTAAACCCCCCCCAAAAAAAACAAACCCTAAACCCAAGATCATCCCAGTGCAGGCTCGGTGCCTCTATCTTGTGTCTAAGGGTGATCTGAAGTACGGTTTCTCGTACCCATATCCCGGAGAGGACACGTAAGATGTATATACCCTAAACCCTAAACCCTCAGTTACAACGAACCCTGAGTACACTCACCAAGCACAGGAATATATGTAGGCCGACCCTCATACCCATCCCTGGGGCCCCCAGAACACAGCACCCCCGAACCCCAACACGGTCGAGGGTTTAGGGTTTATAGGGTTTAGGGTTCCTGAACCCTAAACCCTAAACATCCCTAAACCCTAAACCCTAAACCCTAAACCCTAAACCCTAAACCCTAAACCCTAAATCCTGACCGGCGGAACCGTTTTGGCACCTCGGTCCGCCGCCGCTCAGAGCTCCGCTCGAAGCGTTCGGAGCGCGTGGCGCCCAACCTCCGGGGTTTAGGGTTTAGGGTTTAGGGTTTAGGGTTTAGGGTTTAGGGTTTAGGGTTTGGGGTTTGGGGTTTGGGGTTTGGGGTTTGGGGTTTGGGGTTTGGGGTTTAGGGTTTGGGGTTTGGGGTTTGGGGTTTAGGGCTTCGGGCTCAGGGTTGGGGGTTTGGGGTGTCGGGTTTGGGGTTTAGGGTATAGGGTTTACGGTTTAAGGGTTTGGTTTAGGGGTTTGGGGTTTAGGGTAAGGGTTTCGGGGGTTGGGTGTTTAGGGCGTAGGGTCTGGGGATGAGGGGTCAGGGTTTAGGGTTTAGGGTTTTGGGTTTAGGGTTTATAGGGTTTAGGGTTTAGGGTTTAGGGTTTAGGGTTTAGGGTTTCGGGTTTCGGGTTTAGGGTCACTAAAGCCTGCACCCTTACATGCTGAGTGCAAGCCCAGTTGCTCGGTGATGTGCTGTTGGATCAGCTGGTCAATGAGCATCTGGAACGAACGCGAAACTTCCTGCTTGGAGGCTTAAACCCTACTGTAAACCCTAAACCCTAAACCCTAAACCCTAAACCCTTAGACTCTGGATGTGGGTGCCCTGTGAAATTCAGGAATAAAAAAGGGTGTCCCTCTTGGTTGAGAGAGTTTGTAAGGAAACCTGTACCCTAAGAAAGGGAACAAGGGCCTTCCCTGGGTCCTAGTTACACCCTAAACCCTAAAGCTTCAACCCTAAACCCTATGTTTCTGCATCCTACGAAATTCATCGGATCCCAAACCAACCCCAGCTGTACCATGTGGAGCACCGCCCCAGGGGGCCTATTCCCAAAACTGCTCCGGCTCCCGCAAGGGTTTAGGGTCTACGGTTTAGGCTTAGGGTTTAGGGTTTAAGGTTTAGGGAGTTATAGGGTTTGGGGCAGCACGTGTTGGCAGAGTGGGTGCCGATGAAAACTGTGTAGTCTAAGCAGCTTGTATCAATGCCAAAGGAGTATAAGTACAAGAGCCTTATCTTGGTCCCTAACCCTAAACCCTGAACCCTGAATCCTAAGCCCTGAACCCTCAACCCAGGAAGGAAATGGGCTTGGGGTTTTGGGGCTTCAGGTTGTGGGATTCATGGGGTGTTCAGGGGACTACAAGGGGCTACTTAGGTACGTCGGCACTGTATACAGTATATGTAGGGGTAATATATAATGTAGGGGGAATAAGATTAAGGATCCCTTTGGGAGTCCCTCCTTATACCCCTTAAGGTGTGTTCAAGGCCAGCTACTGCGGGTGCTCGCAGGTGCCCGGTGCTTTCGAGCGCGAGTTGGGTTTAGGGTTTAGGGTTTAGGGTTTAGGGTTTAGGGTTTAGGGTTTAGGGTTTAGGGTTTAGGGTTTAGGGTTTAGGGTTTAGGGTTTAGGGTTTAGGGTTTAGGGTTTAGGGTTTAGGGTTTCGGGTTTAGGGTTTTGCGTTCCGGGTTCCGGGTTGAGGGTTTGGGCATCTCGTGTGTGGTCGACACTCTGCACTTCCAAGTCAGTAGGGTCAAGAATCACGGACCTGCACCCAGAACCCTAAACTCCTAAACCCCTAAACTCCTGAACCCCTAAACTCCTAGACTCCTAAACCCCCAAACTCCTAAATCCCTAGACTCCAAAACTCCTAAACTCCCAAACCCCTAAACTCCTAAGATCCTAAACCACTAAACTCCTAAAACTCTTAAACCCTAAATAAACCCTAAGCCCCTGCTTTGACACGCATTCAACTGATGCTGGGGGCCTTCACCGGCGAGGAACTCCTCGGCCGGCTGATGGAAACACCTTTCACACCTGCACCTGCGAAGCAAGCGTCATTTAGGGTTTAGGGCTTAGGGTTTTGGGTTTAGGTTGGGCCAAGGTCCACCTGCGACTTTATTTACCTACAGTTTAGTAGGAACTACCCCTTGAGAGGTAGGCATAGCCGATAGAATTGTAGGAAAAGAGAGTCCCAGGCAGAGCTTAGGGTTTAGGGACCCTAAACCCTAAACCCCAAACCCCAAACCCTAAACCCTAAACCCCAAACCCCTAAACCCTAAACCCCAAAACCCCATCGAGGTTTTAAGGTTTAGGGGTAGCCTTGGACCTGAACAACACATTGGAGGCGTTGAGGTGAAGCTTAAGGATCCTGTGAAAGACAGCCTCATGGAGGGAACCCAGAGGCGTAGAATACCTTCAGGGTAACCCTAAACCCTAAACCGTAAACCCTAAACCCTAAACCCTAAAACCCTGAACCCTGAACCCTAAACCCTGCAAACTTCGCCAGCCCTGAAGGCCCCCCATAGCGGTTTAGGGTTTGCGGTGTAGAGAGTTGGGGCAGGAGACACACAGATCGAGATAGCGAGAGTAAACAAAAAATCGATAGAAACAGAAAGAGAACCAGAGAGAGAGAGAGAGACAGAGAGAAAGAGAAAGAGCGAGAGGGAGAGAGGGAGAGAGCAAGAGAGCTAAAGAGAAGACGGAGCGGCGCTTGAGAAGGTGCAGTTTCGGTATGCTTGTGGCTTTGCGCGCGTGCGTTGGGGCATTGCGGCTTCTGAGGCTGTCAAGGGCTTTGGCGGTTCGTCTGTCATTCTGGTTGCTATAGCAGCAGCAGCAGCAGCAGCAGCAGCAGCAGCAGCAGCAGCAGCAGCAGCAGCAGCAGCAGCAGCAGCAGCAGCAGCAGCAGCAGCAGCAGCAGCAGCAGCAGCAGCATCGTGACCAGAATGAGATCCGCCGACAAGCCCCAAAAAAAATTGCCAGGCCAAAACTGCATTCTTAGCGAGCGGTGCCCCAAACCGTTGAACCATGACCCCTGATCAGAAATGCTTCGTCGGTCTTAGTGAAGGGTTGGCTACCCATGTTTCAACTTACACCATGCACAAAAATATACTCAAAAAGCTTCTCCATGCAAAACCCAAAAACCTTCTGCCCCAAATCCCTAAACCCTAAACCCTAAAGCTTTGAGCTTTTAGCGCCTCTTGCGGCTGGAACTTCGTCCTCAGCAGGAGGCTCAGCCGGCCGAACCGGCCTCAGCCAACGTGATCCCGAAGGAGGATCTACCCAAAGGCTCCAATGTAGTTCCTTTTTGGGTTAGCTATAGGGGATTCTCGTATACTACCCCCAAAAGGTACTACATAGGAGCCTTTGGGTATCCCTCAGGCTCCCAGAACTCCAATTCAGGTTCAAGGGCCTTGGGGGTCCAAACGCCCTGGTTGTGTTCGGTTTTTGGGCTGCTTTTTGAGCCAAAGGGTATGGGTTGAGGGCTTTAAATTTTAGGGGCTTAGGGGGGGGGGGGGGGGGGGGGGGGGGGGTCCGTGGGGTGTAGCCCCCCTCCCTCCCCTCCCCTCCCCTCCCCTCCCGCCACTCACGAAGCCAACCAACCGTGAGCTACCCCAAGACGGGTTTAGGGCTTAGGGTTTAGGGCTTAGGGTTCAGGGTTTAGGGTTTAGGGTTCGAACCGACCAACCAGTACCGCTACGCATTCAATTCCGGGACATGTAAACGTCATTGACAAACGGACCCTGCTCTAGCTTCAGGGTTTTGCAGAAACTTAAGCTTAAACCCTAGCCCCTGAACCCTATAAGGGCTGCGAATCCATGATTTGTGAGGCCCCAAGCCTCTCAAATCCTAAGCCCTACCCCCCAAAACCTAAACCCTCAACCCTAAAGCCTACCCAAAGGCTCCAATGTAGTTCCTTTTTGGGTTAGCAAAAGGGGATTCTCGTATACTACCCCCAAAAGGTACTACATAGGAGCCTTTGCCTAAGCTAAGACCATAAACCCTAAACCCTAAACCCTAAAACCCTAAACCCTAAACCCTAAAACCCTAAAACCCTAAAACCCTAAAACCCTGAAACCCTAACACTACCACTTCGCACTTCGCAGAGGGACCGGATGTTCTCGAGGTTGCAGAAGCCGAAGCCATGTGGGCCAAGGTGCCTTAGGAAGGTCTTCTGCGGGGCCTGGGGCCTCTAAACCCTAAACCCTAAACCCTAAACCCTAAACCCTAAACCCTAAACCCTAAACCCTAAACCCTAAACCCTAAGGTTTAGGGTGTAGGTTTCGGGCCCACGGAAGGGCACCCCGATGACAGGGACACAGCAAGCATCATCGAGCCCTACGTCCGAAGGGCGACCAGCTGAGATAAAGGAAGAGAGGGATTGGGGCCCAGATTTGGGCTTAGGATGAGGAACATTGGTGGCCTCACCCTAAACCCTAAACCCTACACCCTAAACCCTAAACTGGCCTTAAACCCTAAACCCCACGTTTGCAGGACGTCTCTTGGGGCGGAGGTGCTCAGCGGGAACTAGAACGCCGCCCAGCTCCGCCATAGCGACGAGAGGGGGCGCGCGCGCGACGCCCAGCTGTGAAGGGACCAACTTCTGACTAGGGTGTAGTTTAGGGGTAGGGTTTATAGGGTTTAGGGTTAGGGTTTAGGGTTTAGGGTTTAGGGCTAGGGTTTCTTCTTCTGAGCAGGCTTCGTCCATACGGTGCGCGATTGATTCACGGGGTCTAAGTGCTTAAGGTTTGAAGTACAGTCTGAGCCCCAAACTGAAAAATGGAGGCCATTTGAACCCCAACGCCCTAAGGTCTCAGGCCTACTAGCGTGTTTAGGGTACCCTAAACCCTAAACCCTAAACCCTAAACCCTAAACCCTAAACCCTAAACCCTTCTAGCGGGCTCCCTGCAGCCCCAGTGGAGTGCTGAGGAGCCAAAGTGCGGGCCAAGAGATTTAGGGCTTTAAAGTTTGGGGCGAAGGGAGGGTTTATGGGGCATGGGCCACCCCTCAGGGCTTATTCGGGGGGTGAATTTTAGGGCTTTAGGGTTCTAGGGTGTAAGGCTTAGGGTTTATTCGGGGGTCTGGGGTTTGGGGACCCAAAAGACGCCGTGCTGGGTAGCCCCCTAAACTCCCTAAACCCTGAACCCTAAACCCTAAACCCTAAACACTAAACCCTAAACCCTAAACCCTAAACCCTAAACCCTCCCTTGGATTCCTTTGAAGCGGGTCTGCCTTGCAACATGTGCTAGCCCTTCAACCCCGAATTAAACCCTAGCTGGGGTTTTGGCGTTTAGGTGTAGAGGTTTAGGGGGTTGGGGTTTAGGACCTAGGGGTTTAGGGGTTCAGGGGTTCAGGGGTTCAGAGGTTCAGGGGTTCAGGCGTTCCGGGGTTCAGAGGCTAAGGGGTTTAGGGTTTGGGGTTTAAACCCCACAGGCCCAGAAAAGCAATGCACACAGCAGGCGTGAAATCTACAGAGACGTGTGACCCCACCGCCCTGTGCAGCCGCAGATCACTAAGCGGCTAAACCCTAAGCCCTAAACCCTGAACACACGGAGGTTTCTACAGAGCGGTTCGAAGTAGGGTTCAGGGTTCCCATCAACCCTGAACCCTACATACGCCTTTAAACCAAGAAATCCCAAACCCTAAACCCTAAACCCTAAACCCTAAACCCTAAACCCCTAAACCCTAAACCCTAAACCCCTGAACATCCTGAGGCCGCCATTGCTTACGCGCCTGTGTTCGGCCCATCTGCTTCACCTTGCCATCCACCTCGTGAGATTCAGAGGATCCTAGGGTGCTTCCATGGTCACTTGGTATGGGCCCTTAAGAGGGTACGAGTACCCCTCATATACCCTATACAAAGTAAGGACCCTTACATCAAAACCCTTTACAGGCGGTTAGGGGGCCATATTAAGGACCCGTGAAACCACCAGGATGTAGGGTTGAGGGTGGGCGTGTCGTTCAACCAGCACGCAAGATCGGAGGGGGCCTCTCTGGAAGACAAGTTTCTCGACCATTTCAGGGCAGCCCATTCCCAAAGGGTCCATGTACCTATATAGTAGATACTTGGAGTCTTAAGCGGATTCCTATATAGTAGCATTTAGGGCCCAGGTATATACGACATAGGTACATGGACCGCCATCGCTCGGGGGGGCAACCCCCTCGTTAACTGAAAATCTTCAGGGCGTGGTGGAAATTCCGGCGGGAAGCCTTTGCAACGTCTAGGGCAACATTGCTCCCGTGTGCGTGTGCGTGTGCGTGTGTCCGTGTGTCAGTGTGTCAATTTGTCTGTGTGTCAGTGTGTCCGTGTGGCCGTGTGGCCGTGTGGCCGTGTGTCAGTGTGTTGTCGCGTGCCTGGTGGAGATGGCGGGCGTCGCAAAACCCCAAACGCCCTAAAGCCTAAACCTCCTACAGACCCTCAAACCAGCTACCCCCAAACCCTCAACCCCTGCAAAGCAAAAAACACGTGCCTCAAAGAGGAGGCCATCGCAGAGCCCCAACACTGCGGAGAAAAGCACGTCGCCTGGCTCTTGCCAATGTAGGGGTGTTTGGGGTTTGGTGTTTAGGGTAGTTTATAGGGTTTAGGATTTAGGGTTTGGGGCTTGTGTATTAAGATCTACTTCAGGATGTACGAAGGGATCCTTACTCTACAAAGCAGGAAGTAAGAGTACTTCTGGGTTCCTCAAACCTACGCCCCACGGACTCAACTCGCTCCAGCGTCTCTTCACCAAAAAACCACACTCCGGCCGACCCTCTGAAGAATTGCCAACGACTGGAAATAAAACATGTTCTGCACCTTTCTGAGGTGGATTGATTTTGGGGGACCGATGAAACCTCGTTTTCTCATCTAGGCTTGTGTATCTTAAACGTCTTTCTCTCCTGCTTAGGACTCTAAACCCTAAACCCTAAACCCTAGACCCTGAACCCTTAGGGCCTGAAAGGTACCCCGAAGGCGGCAAAATCTAGAGAACGAACCACTTCTCTTGCCGGCCTATAATCAGTGCGACGGCGGCACCGCAGCCGTCCTGGCGCAAGGATTCTTTTAGGGTTTAGGGTTTAGGGTCTAGGGTTTAGGGTTTAGGGTTTGGGGTTTAGGGTTTAGGGTTTAGGGACATGCAAACATAGGACGAGATATTCCTCGAAAGTCTGTATCCTGAGCTCACACCTGGATCAGCTTCCCTAAACCCTAAACCCTAAACCCTAAACCCTGGGGACTTGGGCTTTAGGGTTTAGGGATTTCTTGAAGACCAGCAGCACCAGGTGTTTTTGGGCAGGTCGGAAGTGTGCATTCCAAACCAGCCCTTGCTGTAGAAAGCAGCACCGAACATGGACAATATGGGCAGGTTCCTCAAATTAGGATCCCTTTTGGATACCCATGCTAATGGTTGGGCATATGCATCTCTCAGCCCAGTTAATAGCAGGCCCGACAAGCCGAAATCCTCAGTTAAATCCTAAAACCTATGCCTAAGCCTCAAATAACCCTAAACGTGAAACCTTAAACCTGCAAACCCTAAACCCTAAACCCTAATTGAACTCCCCCAAGTTTCTGAACCCTGAAGCTCAGAACCCTCAACCCGATGACCAACCTTAAATACCAGTGGCCCGGTTCAGGGTTGAGGGTTTCGGGTTCAGGGTCTAGTTTAGGGTGTGGGGTTCAAGATTTTGGGTTTCAAATGCGCCCGTGGTGTGGAGAACTGTCCCTGAATAAGATCCTCTTCTAACAAAGAAGTGCAAAAATGTACGATATCCTGTACCCCAAACCTTATAAAACTTGTGTTTCACGCTGCTCACAAGTAGGCATTAACCTATGTCAGGTCAGATACCTGCTTGCTGGTTCGCAGGTAAGTAGTGAATCTAGTGCCCGAGATAATGCCTAAAGGCTTGTACAAGGGGAAATGGCGTGCCTAATTCCCTCATTCCCAGCGAAGATCCAGCAACCTAAACCCTAAACCCTAAACCCTGGTCCTGAATGTCCGGCTGCGTTTCTAGAATTTCCTGCATGGCACGGAGTGGCATGTAGGGATGTCGGGATGAGGGGCTGGCAGGCTCAGGGTTCAGGGTTTGCTTGGGGTGTAGCGTGCGGTCTTACTGCACCATTGCTGGCGTACTTTTGAAGTCAATCATCTTTCTTCCTTTTTGGGTTTGAGTATTCAGAAACATGTAAGATGATATTCCACAATGACCCAGCTTAGGGACTTAGGGTTTATCATCTTATTCATGTCCAGGCTTGGGGATTTCAGGGTTTTCGGGCTTCGGCAACGACGTCCGCGGGCCTTATCCAGATCCTCGAAGCTCTTGACCAGTGCGGCCTGCAGGGAGGTAAGGGTTGTTTGCAGAGTTAGCCCTGAACCCTAAACCCTAAACCCTGAACCCTAAACCCTTGTTTAGGGTAGCTTCTGCTTGCGCCCTGAAAGCCCCTGACAAGACCTTAAAAAGGCGGATACCTAGGATGACTCCCTGAGCCCCCAACCCTAAACCCTAAACCCTAAACCCTCAAACCCCACCTGACTAAGGCTGAAGGCCCGCAAGGGATTGCGCTGTCCTTTCGGGTCGTCCAGGGGTTGAAAGGGCCCCACCAGTATGCCCGTTCAAGGGATTCTACAGGGTACCTAAATCCCTCCCCACAAAGGACCAATAGGTACAGGGAGGTCTTGAGGAGTCGACTCAAGGGAATTCATACCGATGTGGGCTTTAGGGTTTAGGGTTTGGGGTTTAGGGTTTAGGGTGTGTCGGCCTTCACGTAGGTCTCGCTGGTGCAGTTCGCAGGAAGACTTGATATGTTGTCCATCACCTGGCGAAGGAATACTTGGGGGTACCACTAGGAGGTTCAGGGTTTAGGGTTTAGAGTTTGGGGTTTGGGGTTTAGGGTTTAGGGTTCTAAAAGCAGTTATACCCCACATACAAGCCCTCAAGTACCCTAATAGGGTGATACTTGGGTGATAAGTACAGTGATCATTGGGTTACTAAGTACCATGAGCTTCCAAGCATCAGCTCTCCTATCTAAGGCTTCTACCTTGAACCGTCAATGTTGTACCCTTGGGTTTTGGGGTCCCTTTTAAAGGATCCCGAAGAAAATATAAGGCTGTAAACCCTAAACCCTAAACCCTAAACATGCTAGTATATTAAGGGGAACCTTTCGGGTACAACCTTAGGGGTGCGAGTCTTCATCCCTCGAAGCTGTCCTACTCCGGCCCTCAGCTCACCACGTGCCACATGGCGGGTTTAGGGTTTAGGGTTTAGGGTTTAGGGTTTAGGGTTTAGGGTTTAGGGCAAGATCCTCGTGGGATCTTGCGTACCCGGAAAGCCAAGGAACAAAGTCTGATTCATCCAAGACTTTGGGCGGGGGGTATGCAAGACTAACGCCAGATGCCCGGACCCTTGTCAACAAGCCCGTGAAAGTCTTCGAGGTGTGCGTTGCTGAATGAACTCAGGCTTTGGCGTTTGGGGCAAAGGGTCAGGGCCTTGCGAGTTTTGGGCTCCTGGGCCAAGCTTATACACCCTCAAGCCCTAGACAAAACTGGCGCCACCCCCTAAACCCTAAACCCGAAACCC